AATACTTCAACAAACTAAATGGAAATGAAATAATATATTGAATTTTGAATGTGTATGTATGTGTGTGTGTGTGGTTGTACATACACACATATGTAGTTGTTTTTTTGGTGTTTGGCTTAGTATTATGTTAGAATCATTATTATACACTTATACCTTTTGTTATTTAATATTTTGAATTGTTTTTAGCTTTATTTTTTGTTTTTCATTTAAATGTTAACTTCTGAAATTTTGTTGTATGCATTTGTCACTTTTATTTAATCTCTTTATTTTTAAAATGTGTATAGGTAGTATTTATAAAGTTTTGGATCTGTTTTTAGTTGTTTTAATACAACAATTGATTGCTTCTGTTGTCCTCATTTGTAAGTCGCTTTGGATAAAAGCCTCTGATAAATGACTAAATAAAATAAAATAATTTTAAAAAATCATCTCTTTACTACCACTCTGTTCCTTCCAGTATCTTCCGCAGAGGTGGGCAGTGATGTTGCTCCTGTAATAAACAGCCTGCCTCCAGGGTTAGGAAAGCCCCCACCACTTCTGCCTGCTGGATCTGGACCACCACCAAGAGAGCAGGCAAACCCACCCTCAGGGTCAGGAGGTACACCCCTAGGCCATCACATGGGATTGCAAGGTTTGTTTTTGGGGTATAGCATGAAATAAATGTAAAAAAAAAAATATATATATATATATATATTTATGATGCTGACTATATGCAGTATTCCCTGTGTTTCCAGGCTCGTATCCTAAGACGAAACCACCTCCTTTGCTTTCAGTGCAAAATCTAAAGCCACCTTCCCATAGATCAACCGGCCCCCATAGTCTTTTACCCTCTCGGGCCTCTTTAGTCTCACACGGTTCTTCATTTAGTCCCCCATCTAGAGGGCCAGCAGCCCCTCATAGTCTTGACAAGCCACACCCTCTGCTTGGCCCAGCACCTACACATGGGCCAACGTCCACCCGTGCCCCTCTTCTTGATACGCCTCTTGGTTTCCCGTCCTCTAGAGGACTATTGCAGCATCCGGGGTCTCATTCATCGCGAGGACCACCATTGATTTGTGGACCCCCACCGCAGAATGGACCCCGGGGTCCTAGAGCACCACCACCTTCACTCAGGAGCCTTCATATGGGCGCCCCAACAGGTCAGCATCTTCTCATGAAGTTCTTGTTATAATGGCTGTTTAGAGCACTTTTGGTATGGAAAGATCTGTCACTAATTTTTTTTTGTTTTTTTTTTGTCCATGTTCAGGTCCACGGCCGCCACGACGCCTGCTCCCTTGATTCTCTCAGGACACCTGATTAAATCATAGGCCAATATTGCCACGTGGGACAGTTGTTACATTTTGAACATAGGCAGTTTTATGTTAAGGAATTTGCCTTCTGTGTTTTCTTTCAGGATCCCACGAGATGTTTAAAGATGTACTGGTATGGAAAAAACCACAGTGTTGTTCTCTTTATTTCCACAGGTGTAAGCTAATTTTTAGAATAAATATGAAAAATTTCAGTGACATAAATGTGTAAGAGATGTCTTTAAATATCACTATTCCCCGTACAGTGATTGAAAATATTTCAAATACAATTTTTGGTGTGAGGCAATAATATGAGACTATTCAGAATTTATAATTATAAAAAGTGCATATTATTCTGAAATGCAATTCATTTAATTTTGTTGAAAAAAATTAATAAAGTTATCAAAAAAACATTTTTTTTAAATCTAGCTCTTTAAAAAAAAGAGATAAGAACAAATCATAAGATGTCTTTTTAGGAATATAAACGTTTTTTGTTTTTATTTAAAACATTTAGGAATAATATTTTTTTTAGAATTTAAAATTTCTAAAGTGTGAATCTGGCCCGTAAACTTCAAAACAGTTCTCCCTGTTACTCTGAATGCATACATAAATTGCCCTCAATAATTTAGAACTTTTCCAGGTAGACCACCCATCAATGTTTTTTTTTTTTTTTTTACATTTTGACTGGACAAAAAAAATTCTGTGTACAATTCCATGTTTCTTAATGCAAATTTACTCTAAAATTGGATTGTGCCATCTGACTAAAATTTCAGGTCATGCCACAAATTTTTGATTGGATTGAAGTCATTTAATCTTTGGAACATTGTTGTACTGGACCAAAGGGGTCGCTGCTCTGAACAGTCTTTGGCTGGCTGATACTGGCACCCCTCCTGGATTTTGGCTCCATCTGTGTTACCCTTGATGGCAACAAGCTTTTTTCTTTCTCTTTGCTGGAAAAGAAACACCAGAGCAAGATGCTGCCACCACCATACTTGACATTAGGGATGAGGTTACCTAGATGACGAGGTTGGCTAGTACCCCCGCATGGCATACATACATTTGATACTTTTTTTATTTTTTATTGCAGAACTTGAATAGCCAAGATATAATTAAAAAAATTAACCTTTTCGGTCCACGGAAGAAAGTAAGTGAGAGTAAATAAGTAATAGGTATTGAGTGAATTATTCCTTTGATATTACAAACCAGACACAGAAACAGGTGTGACTTAAGTACAGCATTAAAACAACCTGATAATTTACTCAGTGTTATGATGGTGAGGTTGAATCATCACAATGCATATGTTTGTCTTCGAATGGGTGGTTTAACTAAGGGGACATGCAACTAACTGCTTATATGAATTCCTTTCAACAACTGGTAGATGCAAATGAGAGACTCCCCTTGATCCCAAACATAAGTTTTATGGTACAGTCATGGCCAAAAGTTTGGGCTGTTACATACATTTTGTGTTTTGCAAAGTTTGCTGCTTAAGCTGTTGTGGTGTTCATTTACATTGTTTCTAGATTATTGTGTAGAGTGATCAGATGCATTTTAAATAATTGCTGAAAGCTTCATTGGCCAAAAAAATGAACTTTTCACAAAAACAAAACAAAACACTGTTTTTTGATCCTGGCACAAAATGACCAGCTAACAATAATTGACTAATCAAGGACAGACTGAAATTCTGCAGGAAGTGCAAGGATTGGAGAAGACTGGTGCAAAGTTATTTTCTCTGATGAAGCTCCCTTCCGACTGTTTTAGGACATCTGGAAAATTGATTGTTTAGAGAAGAAAAGGTAAACGCTACCATGAGTCCTGTGTTGTGCCAACAGTGAAGCATCCTGAGACCATCCATGTGGGGTTGCTTTTCAACCAAGTGTGCTCTCATAATTCTGCCCAAAAACACTGCCAGGAATAAAGAATGGTATCAAAACGTCCTAAGCGACTTCTGCCAACGATCCATGAGCAATTTGGTGATGATCCGTGCATTTTCCAGCATGATGGAGCACCATGTCACAAAGCAAGAGTGATGAAGTCGCTCGAAGATCATTACATTGAAATTTTGAAACTACGGCCAGGCAACTCCCCGTTTTCAATCCCATAGATAACCTGTGGTCAGTCCTCGAAAGGCGAGTGGACAAGCGGAAGCCCACAAATTGTGATCAACTCCGACAACTAATAAGGCATGAATGGATCGCCATCAGTCAGGATTTGGCTTAGAAGCTAATATCCAACATGCCAGGGCGAATTGCAGAGGTTATGAAGAACAAGGGTTAACACTGTAAATATTGACTCATATTTTGTTTGCCAATAAAAGCCTTTAAAACTTATGATTTGCTTATCATTGTTTTTCAGTATAGCCTATAGAAACGTGGTAAAAAAATCTACAAATACTGAAGCAGCAAACTTTGCAAAACACAATTTGTCACTGCCAAAACGTTTGGCCATGACTGTAGGCTACATGCCGGGCTGGAAATGGTGGAGTGAATTTCGTTCCACTTCTAGCCGGTTAGATAAAAAAAAGTAGATTTCTATATTTTATTCATTCAATAGCCTACGAAAGCGACCCGAGTTCCGCTCATAAATGTAGTAAAACGTAGCGGGATATTTTTGTGTAAGGTTAGCTGCGCAATGTCTGCTTTTGTGATTGGCCATAATACCTGCAGGTGGCAGTTAATGGAAATGCTTCTCTGTCGGTGCGCGTTCTCCTCACAGGACAGATCGTGAAAGCAGTTGCCTCAGGTAAATTATCTAGGATGAACCGTGATTTTTGACGAAAATCTGAACATCTTTAACAGATGAGAATATTTGATATGGATAAAGCTGTGTATAACGTACCTGAAATGATCCAGGTTTTTATGTAAACTCCGTCTAAAAATAATGTCTAGCCGAAAAGACCTGGCATGAACTGAGATTAGTGAGCTTTTAATGGTTATAAAGACAGTTTGCAAATGTGGTGTTGATTTTACACAGCAGTTCAATAAAGAAATTCATATTTGTGACTTACATTTTAGGAATAGCCTAGGCTACTATTGAATGATTTTGCTCTATTTCCTCAACTAAAATAGTTCCAAACAAAGTCACAGCTGAGCCACTGCGCATCTCCATTCAAACACAGCGGTGCTTCGTTTATGAATGAATCTGCATTTTCACAAGGACTGTCACTTGCGTCGTTCCTGAATGAATCAGCCGTTTGAAGGAATCGACTGAATGAAGGAGTCAGTGACAAAGACTTGCCGCCACCTACTGGCCCTTTTATTTTCATTTTAAAGTATCATTTCAGTTCTTAAACTAATTTGATATTTCTATATAGATCTACAAATCACTTTGAGTCAAATAGCTATCGCCAATATGAAGGTACATTTTTGTCATTGATGAGAAGGTGCTCCTAAATTTTTTAAATGGTAGCCTATTTGTAAATCATTCTCCCTTTTTATTAAACACAAGAGCTCATTAATAATGCTTACATTATTAGCCACCCTCCACCCCCTACCCCTTCCAAGCTAGAGTCCTCCTCAGTGAATTTTGGCCATTTCCACTACTGGGTACATGAGACATCATAACATGACAATGGAACAATTTTGTTTTGGAAAACAAATAAGTAGGCTATATAGGGCCACTTTATAAACCTACACAGGGCCAGAAATGTAGGTAAACTATGGAAGTTAATTTCTGCCACATTAGAAAATAGTCATCCTTTGGTAAATCATAATTATGAGATTAAAAAAGAAAAAGAAATTGACATGGAATCTCGACTATTTATGTCACAACTGACTTCTTATAATGTCGACATTCTGTCTGATAATTACGACATTATTGTAATTTACCAAAGCATGATTTATTTATTTATTAAATGTAGCGGAAATCGGCTTCCATAGTCAACATAAATGGACAGAAAAAAAAACATTATTTTTCTGGAAATATATTAGAACGTCTTTTAGAAACAGTGCACTGCTGAGCACCGTTGTTATAGCAGGTCATCTTATTTTTGTACATTCTTCTTTGCTCTTTCAAATCTCTAGTTTCTAAAAGAAAAGGTAAATTCCAGAAATGGAACTTAAATGTTAGCCAGAAAGTCTGTTACCATTTACTTTACTAAATGGAAAAATATATTTTTATACATTTATATAACTTTTCCTTGTGTTTCGCCTAAGAAAGCAAGACAGACAGTCTTGAAACATAAGTAAATTATGACAATTTACATTTCTAGGTGAACTGGTCTTTTAAATAAGGGGAGATTCTTGATAATATTACAATTAAATATAAATGCTTAAAATTTTTTTGTTTTTGCAATATGTATGACTGTATAATCACCACAGAGACAAAAATAAAGCAGTAACAATCCACGAAACACGACGCTATTTGAGTGTAAGCTCATTTTAACCACTAGATAGCGCTGTAGACCTACGGAACATACGCTGAACGTAGCAGTTCAATGTTTCATTTATGGTCGTTGTGTTTCTCAAACCTCAAAACATCCACTGCTTTTTCTATTACATACATTTTCTTCTCAATTGAGATTTGGTTATATTTTATTTGAATATTTAATTTGAAAAGAGAAACACTGAAATGCAGCATTTAATACGATTTAAACACAGAATGAACCCTACAAATTGTTTTCGTTCTCTGGAACACATTGCTAGCGTGAATGCATTTTCCCTCAATAACAGTAAATATAATTTTCTCATGCAAAATAAACCATTGGGAGATAAATCGAAGGCTTGCAGAATGTAGCTACTGTTCCTTGTGCAATTTCATAATAATAGGAATCTGTATTTGTGAAGTGTTCGTTTGCTCACATCCTCCAAATTGGGCGAGACAATATTGCATTCAGACGACATAATGTTTGAGGACAAATATTGATAAACGTAAATTACAAACCAAATATAGAAACAAGACTAGATATTTTAAAGACATAAATCATGGTAAAACAGTAATTGCTACTCAAATGAGATTTTTTTATTTCAAGAGAATGAATGCCCTTATTTTATATGGTATATTTTAATATCACAAGTTTTATCGTCACTTTTCAAAGCAACTCTCACAAAATATGTGGACTGATTCTTGTCCTCAGAAGTCTCCTTCAAATACTTGCTAAGATTTCACATAAATGTTTCTTAGGCCTTGCGTGAGAACAAAAGTAGTTGTGGATGAATCTGCACAGTCATGTGTGTATACAGTATATACACTGCATGTTAATCCTAATGGCACACACTGTCAGCAAATGTGTGTATGTCTTTAGTAGGGCATGTTTTACAGCTGTTTGTCTCTCCACTCTCTGATCACAGACACTCGACCGCAGC